GTACCACAAGTGATCATTCCGTGTTGTGCTAAAAATCTTTCGTATTTGCCAACTGAGCCGCATTATATTTTATTATATCACCTACGTTAAACGTGACATTTATTACGTTAATAACCTATGTTTTCATCTTATATTTTCTAACAACGTGACAACGCAGGGAAAATCACCAACATGTACGCCGTACGTCGTTAATATTGTCATATTAATTACGCACGTAAACATTTCTGGAAAGCGTTATACAAAAGTACAAGTGACACCGATTTCACACAGCCATAATCCTCATTTGTCACTTCTTTGGAGAGCGAAATTAAGATAAATAAGAGGCAAGGAGTGGGTCCTTTCGCTTCAATCCTCTTGTCGTTTGAGAAGGTCGGATGAAGCGAGTCAATGAAACTGAATTTGGACTCTATTACTTGGAAGTTACAGTTTGTTGCGCCTGGACACAGTTGGTAGTTTCACGCGAGAGTAATCCACAAATAGGAGTCCGAGAATAGAGCGAGGCTACTGGACACTCGTCGCAATCATATCTCCAGGCGGTGCTGTGAAATTTTTAACGCTAACATTCTCCATGACTCAATCTTTGTATGTCATTAAAAAGGCAAAATGAACAATATAAAAATAAACAATTTCACTGAAAATATCGAGCATTACGAGGCCTTTCATTTCAAAGAAATTGGCAACTGAACTGTTGTTATATTTGTTTTGAAAAGCTCTTCTGATAAAATTTAAAAATGACAACATGATCTTTATGTATCTGAGAGTATTTCATGATTGACGATTATAAGTCGGCACACCACACCCGGCTATTTTATTCTTTTTTTTTTTTTAGAAGACTTTAGAAGAAAGACGGTTTGAAAGTTAATTTTGCAGATGCCGTTAAGGCTCAGAACCCTTTGTCACTTTAAGGGGTATGTACGATTTAAGCCAGAAATGTTTGTATAAACATGGTAGTGGTAGGAATATAGTCGAATAACACTTGAATACTTGGAAAAGAATCATGTAAATCGAAATAGACCTGGTGTAACAGTTGTTATGAAATTGTCAGCCGACTTTCAGTTCCGCAAAACTTTTATAGAAAGACTTTAGGTGTTGAATGAACACTTTATTTTAGTTTTACTTAAACTACAATATTTTTAAATGATAGCCTACCTAACTTAGCATTATTATATCGTTACCTATCACATGTCCACTGGATATCTTAAACAGAAATAGCCACAAAACTCTGTAATGTGGACTTCACAGAGTAGATCCAAACAGTTAAGTCAAGATAAGCCAATTATCAATAGTTCGGATCTTGTCTTGGTTTGGGATCCGGTGTCCGAATCCTGTAAGTGCGAACACTAGAATAGCTAACGAGACGTTCTATAAACTTGATAAATCATATTCTAAGTAATGCTACAAGTTTAACTGTACTATACGAACACTTCAAAACATTATACCTAATAAAGACTGAACAAAATTTTATCTCCTTAAATAAAAAGCCTAACAGTTCCGTAATACTATTTTTGCCGTCTTTTTGTTTGACGGCAGATGGTATTAATACGACAGGTTTCGTCAGAAAGTGAGTAGGTATTAGGTATATCAAAATGATAATTGTTCACACAGCCGACGGGCCCGAAGCAAGTTCTTCTAAGTCCATTCGAATTCGCAACGGTAACGTCAAACTTACTTCTTCGAACGTGTAGAATCAATTATTTGGTATGAAAAGATTTAGACGAAAACGATACAGTCAATGCACCTGTGTTTGTGCCCTTAGTCTGTCACACAACATTGAATGAAATATTTCGTGGTTAGAGAGATTTTTTGAGGATTAAAGGGAGTGAACCACCCGCAGGTCATTAGAGCAGGTAGCAATAACCGACCACTCCAGGAGTCATGGGCGCCTTTCAATAGCGGTAACTATAGTCAATTTTATGGCTTTATTGAAATTTTGAGAATGAATGGGTAACTGTTACACAATAATCATTTAAATAATAATAATAATATTTTTATTTGTTTCTCAAAGGTCATTTTAGAGACTCACATACATTACAAACTTTACAAAATGTTGATTAAAATGTTACGAACGCTGTAAATTGATGTACTAGTCAGAGATATTTATATATTTTTTTTATTGGTAGCATCTACTTTACGGTAATATTTTTTTTAAACGCGTATCTAGATAACTATTTAGCGTTCTATTATTTACCATTTTACTATGTAAAGGTTCAGTAGACGAACCTAATATTTAAAAATAGCGAGTCAATGACTCATAAGCGGTTATCTAATTCTTTTTCATATTTTTTTCTGTTACAAGTCTTACAATTTATTATTGAATGCGTAGAAATGACTCAATCCTGTGACTTAATATTTCCGAGTAATGGATTATTTTAAAATTAATATTTGTTTTGTGTTTAATTTTCTTGTTGCTAGAGGATGTATGTTAATATATTATTACTGTACCTTCGATTAGGTATTTTAGTAGGTATTCACCTAACACGATGTAAGCTGGTTATTATATTTAGATATTTGTGTGACTCAGCAACTACTCCGTAGAATTATTTGACATTTAGGAAAGTTTAGGTACACATAATAAGTATATTATTTAAGTTATTTTAAATTTTTAATGGCAAACGTATTTGTATTTATTTAGTAGAAATTTGTTATTTAGCTTTAATTAATTTTTCTGCCATTATTGCTTAATTCCATCTTGTAATACCATTTTAAAGTTTAATTTCTTAATCGTGTTGTAAAACCCTGGTATTTAAAACAAATTTACCGCTAATTAAAATAACATTCTCTTATGATTTGTTAATAAATTACTGTAATAGATTTTGGCGGTACGAAAAAAATTTTATATGTCTGTATATTGTTTTTCCAAGTAAACAGTTAAGTTTTAATTTAATATTGTCATTTAGGTAACTGTAGTAAATAATTGAATACTATTATATGAATGAGTTGTTATTCTTTTTACTTTGGTTTACACAAGCAATTCAGTTCATACCGTAGCGGGTTTGATTGCCGTCGGAACTGAATTTATCTATTAGCTTTTCCTTCTCCGTAACAAACAACACTTTTAACATGACATGACAATGTTAATGTTGTGTAAGCACGTCAGTTCGCGGTGTCACCTTAATAATAACATACCTAATTAATATTTAGTTCTTTCTTCTCTGAACATTGTAATACAATACGAACTTGTGTAAGTGAATGGGCAGGGCTATACGATTACAGCATCCGGAGAGTGCATCAACTGTACACCAATTAGCTTAGCATTAATGTTTCAACACTATGCCACCGTTTATTGTACTTTAACAAACATGAATAACCCTCAAACTGAGTAATACTGAGTTTTATTGCTCCGATCATGTGTGAAAGGGTGTATAAAATAAAAAGTTTAATCAAGGGACATAATAACCGTCTGCGAAAGGGGCAAACGATTCCAAATTCAATTTCCCTAAGACGGAATACGTGATAAATCGTTGTGAATCGGCCATTAGATGCGACGCGGCGTGAGGGCCTGAAGCGTCAGCAGTTTACACGTCTTATTGCTTGTCGTGCAGCTCGCAAGTTGTCGGCTTCGCCCGCGTCGCGACGCGCAATAAAAACATCAACCATATTGACCAAAATAACTCTTGGCACCCATTCGAGAGTCCGACAGATACTGTAAGTGAAGCGATCTCAACAAAACTATATACTTACGCAGCACTTACAGTTTCAAACATTTGGATACGTTTTTCAAATAAGTAATATGTATCTTTGAGTACTTTTACACGGATGATTATTTTTTCAATTTAGCAAGCAAATTTTTTAAGGCAAAATAACAATTTTTAGGTATATCAAAGTTAAAATTAAATTATTGCCGCGTAAAATTGCAGGTCTCATTTTAGCATTAAGGGAGAACTCATATTAACAAGTAACCGAATCCATAGCTATAATAGGTTTTGAATAAGTGGTCTGAGAACTTTTTCAATAACTTTGTATACATTTTTGTTGGATATAGGTACTTATGTAAATAGTTAAATAGATTACCGGCTAATCTAACGAGACTAGTATAATTGGTAAAACTGTCAGTTGGAACACAGACTAGTATAGTTTCAGTGATTGTTAATTTGTTGCAATGTAAATTTTACTTACGTTTTGTAATGAATATTTATAACAAAAAATATTTGTAAGTAAATGTTAACTACAACATATTTATTCAAATATTTTATTGTGTTTTTAATAAATTGTGTATCACAGGTACCGTACTGTAATAATAAAATTTATAATTGCCTGTATCTACTTCCTAAGTACAGAATTATTAATTAATGATTGCCAATTAGCATGATTTTATTAATTTTGTTGTTTAATATTATCATTTATTTTAATAGTAGGTAAATATCTTCAGTTTTTACAAAGTAGTTAATGCTAAAATTAAAATCAAGAACAAAAACTATTTAAAAAAATCATATTCCCGGTACTTTTGGTACTTACCTACATATAGCACAAAAAATACCTACATATTGCTATATGTAGGTAAGTACAAAGTAAAATTTTAACTATTATTTATTAAAAAAATCTTATTAACATAATTTTCAAAAATTAATTAAATTATAAAACCTCTTCGATTTTTTCTTGAAAGTGAAATATATTTTTATAAAGACATTATGTAAGAAAATAATTTATATTTTCAACTTAGGCGATATAATTATCTGCTGCACATAAATAATTGACAACAATAAACTACACATAAGTAATTAATAATTATTTTCTTAGGTAAAGACGAATGTCTCAGCACAGATGTCTCAAAAAAAAGTTAAATAATATTCCGAAAACGAAGGCGCGAACTATTAAATCACTATTAAAACCACGTTAAATGACCATTAAATTAACTAAACCAATTAATTTAACTATCCACGTTTGATTTTTCACAAAATATTTAATTTATGCAAAAACTTTACCAAACTATCTTAGGAATGGACGAAAGTATGTAAGGAATTTTCTTGTTTATTTACAAATTATTTCCAATAAATACTCACGCCTTGGATAAAATTTCGAGTAATAACAGTCCATGTCACTCGTATTTAATTTCACAGCATCGATATCAATTTCACTGTCAATTTGTTTACTATTCACTCGCGCGTTACATGTAAAACGTTTGACATTTCATAAAATAAGCTGACAAGTGACATCACTGCGCGCAGAATGTACGTCAAATCGCATGCAGCCACCAACGCGACTGAAGTGTATCGCAGGCGAACGATACCATACCGCGTCTTTCGAAAATTGCGCCATCCCAGTAAGCACACTCAAGCGAATTTAACAACACAAAAGCACCTTGAGCACACTTCATTCCCGACAGCTTGCCTAAATGCAGCTGAATCCTAAAACTAGATAATGTTTACATCGCGAAATGCCGACACCCGAGCGACCGGAAGTCGCAGCGAAGCAAACACGACAACTATGTAAAATATTGCAGGATCGCGATCGCATTGTTGACATTCCCTAATAAAAATCACTTATATCTTGACTTGATTGTATGAAAATTGTGTCAAAAATAATTTTTACTCACCTATTATGGAGGCCGAAGATGAAGTGAAGGGACGAATTTTGATTAAATGTCAATTTAGGAGTAAATTTAAAGAATATACTCTTATTGGTATGCGAAGAATGGCACAAAGAATCCCGACAACGCACGCGACGAATGCGCACCTCGTTTGCGCATATGCTGACACAACTTCACGGACGTTACTCCCCTTGCCCCGCATTCACCCGGTTTTCTTTGTATGTGTGCGTGTCCAGAGTGGTCAAACGTGAAATTTTATACACGTATACACAAACACATATACACTTAGTACCTGCCCTAGCTCCCGAATGCCGCCATATTTGAAAAGAAAGAGACAGAGCATTCTGTTATCTCGTGTTTTTGTCGACATCAGCGCCATCTGTAGGAACAAAATGTGAAGTTAGAATATTCACAGATGGCGCTGTTTACTGTGTAAAATTAGGTCAAATTGTGAACTTTTAATGTTTTTTGTTTTAGTTACTTAAATTAAACTATGACAAATACTTAGGTTTGTATGAAAATATTAAAACAGATTTAATAATTCTTCCAGCAGTCTTTATTATCAACGATATCTCTGCGGTAACATAAATAGTCGAGATACTGATGTTTACTAGCGGTGTTTCTGTTTTCTTTCTAGAAATTACCAAGTTGTATTGCACTTTTTAGTTGTTGATGTTGTGTTGTCACCACTTACACTTAGTTCATATGTCGCATGCTCCTATATAGATAGGTAATAGTTGATTTGATGAGGTTATCCTTGTCTATCAGGTATGTCGCTTGCTCTAATGTTCATAACTTTTGATAGTTAGACAAGTAGATTAAATAAAAAGAGTAGAGTAAGTAGTTCGTTATCTAGTTTATTTATATACTTACCTAAGCAGCAATTAGGGAAGGTTTGATGCACGAAGAAGCAAAATTACAAGTATACTACAATTTATTACGAGATATTTTATTGTTCAAAACAAATGTCTGCCCACAGAACCGGACAAATGTTATTTGCTTAGCTGATTTATAAAGACGATACGGTAACTATCATAAATGTAACTTTAATATTCAATGAATAACAGCAAAACATATTCAGTCATGACACTATTAAAATAATAATATCTATTCAATACTTATTCGTAATTATGTTATCTTTTAGGTAGGTACTAAGAATGTATGAAATATAAAATAAAATGTTGAATGAACCAGTATTGAAATTTTTCATTGAAACTTCATAATGTGATTTTAAACAATTAGTTACGTTTTTGCGTTTTTTTTTATTTCATTGTCAGTGTTTATTTTTAATAAGTACCTATATATGATAGATACAATACTTAGAAATTATTGTGATAACTATCATGTACTTACTATAAGGATACACAATCTTAATATAAATATTAAAGCATGGAAATATAATATGAATTTCAATAAAATATATTAATAAACATAGGTTAACAAACTTCTACTTGCTAACAAAACTTTTCAAATTTAACAACGACTTAATTAAAACTATGTCAATATCTAATCAATTCATTGTATGCAGTTTAATTAATACTTATACGAGTTATTACATGAAATATAATACTATATACTTATACATATATATAATAATAATAATACATTAAAATGTTATACCATTGGTAAATCTGTACAAATAATTTTCACTAATGAATTATTGAAAGTAAGTACCTAAAAATTGTTTTCAGCTGTTATTATTTTTGTAACGAAAACCACATAAAACGTAATAGAAACTACAAATAATTAGGTATAATTATATATTGATGCACAAAATCTTCAGTAATATGGAAGCACCTAAAATTATTTTTGCAGTTGGGTTTTTTGTAACGAAACGGGACAAAACGTTACAGAAACTACAATCAATGGGTAAGGCACCTAAAATATATGGTACCGAAAATAAATAATTTAAAAATATTTAGTTCAAGCAAATAAGTATAATGCATTTACCTTATATTTTACCTTAGGTAAATATTTTATATATATTTTATGATTGGCAACTTCTTAAATAAAAATAATTAGGTACTCGAATAAGTATTCGATTATTTTTAGTTAAGATATGTTTAGATTGAATACATTGTAGTTATATTTAATAATAATAACAATTTTGGTCCTTTTCAGTTATCCAACAATTAATTGAACAAGGCGTTTATTTAGGTACCTCAACATTTATAGGAATATTTACTGAAACCGCGGAAATAATGAACTTAAGTAGAATAATGGTGCTTAAACTACATCTTAATAATCCTATCTTATCACTTTCTAGATACCGAAGTCATAATACTAATCCGCAAAAAGAAGCTAAATAAAATGCCGTCTTTAACATTAGATTCAAATTATCATTGAGTACCTACATTATCCATTTTCATTATTGAGGATCTAGGATGTACAGTTGAACACGCTATTAAGGCGATCGTATTGTGGATTCTCCCGTTCAAAAGACAGGTCGGAAATTGGAAGACCATGTATTTCATAAAATGTTATGAATCATGTGAATTATTCAGCGAGAATTTTTTCATAAATTAATTTACCGTTAACAGATTCTGTTCTGTATTTAACGTTATATTTATACGAGAAATCAAACTAATTATTATTAGTCTGGTGGTTATATTTAGGTAATTAGTCACCGAAGAACAAAAACAAGCGTAGGTATGCATTCAGCTTGTAATTTATTGTTCCTACCTATGTATCTCTTACTGTCTCATTAATTTCTTAAACATAGATTCGTAGATACAACAGTTGTAGTATCCAAATTTTGGATCATATAACTCATAGGTCATCAGATCTACAAAAACCTGGGTTCTGCCTGAGCGCACCAAATTATTTGTACGTTAAAGATAAACTGTTGTAGGACCCTGCTCATGAGGGACAATCCATCTCTGACTAGAAGCCAGTAGCTTTTCTCAGTATATTTAAGTGAGTAAACCTTTATTTTTCGTTAATTCAATATGTCTCACAATAGTTATTGTAAAAACCTGCTGTAATCTTATCTTGTACTCTTATACTATTATATAAAGCGGAAGAGTTTGTTTGTTTGTTTGTTTGAACGCGCTAATCTCCGCAACTACAAGTCTGATTTGAATAATTTTTTTTGTGTTGGATAGCACATTTATCGAGGATGGCTATAGGCTATAAAACATCACGCTACGACCAATAGGAGCTGAGAGCGTGTGAAACCGCGCGGAAGTAGCTAGTGTTAAATAATAAGTCTATAGCAATCGAAATCTTCATGTACAAATAACACACACGACGGTCTCTGAACACATTATGAGAACGAGTCTATAAATACAGCCACCGATTTGTTTGTGGGCAGTGTACTATACCTATGTCATATAATAATAATTAAGCTACTATTAATTTATTAGCCAGTGGGAACAATGTACACGTCTGTACAATTTTACGATTTTCTCAGTATTACACAAAATATCTACATATTATCAAATACATAAGGCAATTATTATCTACATTATTTCAACGACTATTAGGTAATTACTAATTAAATATACTCTTATTATCTCTTTGAATTAATAAGTAAAATACCATAATCAACTAGCAATCTATGGCTAATTGGTAAAGCTTGATCAAAGATCAAAAAATTGACATGGAAGAAGGATCGCTATTAATTTCGGTCTTGATAGCAGGTCTCTATGAGGTAAGTATTTTCTTTCATTGAGAAGCATTCATATCTTAGTCTCAGATAAAGTATAAAAGCCCTGAAGGCGGTTTCATGTAAGCATACGCACGCTACTAAAATTCAAACAATACAAACTGATTAGGTACTATGACTGAAAGGAAACCATATTTACTTAGCCACTCTCCATATAAAATTCTGAAAATTTTAATACGTTTTCTATTAACGTAGTCACTTCATATTATACATAGCGCATAACACTGTATTTAATATACTTACATGCATACTTATTTCTTGAAACAGACGTCAATACATCCAGCTATACATAATTACACGTTAACGAATGTCGTCTTCTTACCAATCCCCTTTTTGCTCTGCTTAAGCATAAAGCTACTTTAAAACTACAGGATTCGTTCATTATAACAATCAAAACCCAAGCCAACACTTTTTGAATATCATTCGTTCGCTTTCAAACTTTTTCTGTGGAGTTAAAAAAAGAAACACAAAATCGCGGAAGATTTGTAAATTTTAATATGGAAGCCTCACTATAAATAAAGTTACCTATGTATGTAAAATTTGGAAGCGAATGATCAATATTTTTTTAATCTCGCCAGTTTAGCCAAAGTCTAGTCCAAATAACCATATTCCGTTACACGTCGCTGACCGAATCCATCCACAATCAAATTATGTATGTACACGTTCAGTTCGTCTTACTGTGAGTAGGACACATCACTTGAAGTTCGTGCTGAGGCAGGTCGCGGACCACAATGGCGTGGAATGCCATGTTCGCCGTCGCCAAGATGTATTCACACACTGAGAACCATGTGAATGCTGAAAACATAACGTAGAACTGCTAGAGACCATTTTTTTTTCAACATGATAGAAGAAGAATGTTTGATACGCTCAAAATATTATTAAAATATGTTGTTTAAAATTCAGTTGAGTATTACATCACGTAGGTCAGAAAAACTCCTTTGCGTCTTGAAAAGAGGAGATGAGGGCTAGAAAGTCATCATTTGTTTGTAGCTAAGAGTATTGTAGGTACAATAGGCCATTATCCTTATTCATTCTAAGTTTTACCACCATACTCAATGCCGATGGTTGTTCAATCCCATATTCAATATTCAAAGGGGACACCATTATTGACCTTTTGCCCTTATCCACTTACTGGAGCAAATAGACCTACTACAGAGTTTCGATCAATTGAGCAACTTCGAACCATCGTTCACGCTAAATATGACATTTTATATCGGTTCATGGAAAGGTCACAGCCTAAATAAAAGAGAAATGCCTAATAAAAGGTCACAACTACCTAATCTAAGAAATCATTCATTGACTGAATCTCCCAACAAAAAGAATTTTAAAAGGTTTCAATTATAAAGCCTTTAGAAATTACCTAGTTTTCAGTCTGTATATCTTAATCGAAACTACACAATTCAACAGAGTACCTATATCCTTACATAAGTAAACAATAGACCAAAGGATTTAAAAAACTTTACCTAAAGGTCGACACAGCAGCCGATGTCGCAAGAAGAATATAATGAGTCCCACGGTGGAAGCTATGGCGACGTAGAACAGTGTCCATACGAGTTTGTTGGTCCTCACCGGTTCTACGACGTCGCTTGCGATGCATCCGACGCGGGCGCGACATAGCATATGCAGCAAAGCCGTTACCATGAACACTATGAATATCTTCTCATGAACAACTAAAAACAGAATTGGGAATTAAATTATTCACTGATAGAACTGAATATAAAATAAATACATGGTGTTATAAAGAAATTTCGCAAAATCTCACCCATGTGTTACCCAGAAAGCCTTTAAGAGAAAAGTTAATTGTATCAACGATAAAAAAAAGTTTACTTACAATAGTTCTCCCTATTGGAAATATATGTTACGCCTGTAAGTGCAAACAGCTCTATAAAATTTAGCCAATAGCATGCTTTTCCTAATTTGGTCGCCGTAGTCCGAGCCTGAAAAATTAAATTCATTGTTTTAAATAAATTATTATAACTAAACTAAGATGATGGAGCATTTGTGCATCATAATAAGATTGGGCTATATTTAAACTTGCATTCAGCCCCGATAACTTATTTACTTGGGTAACCTTTGAGGTATAAAGGTTAAAAGTTAAATCGTTTAAATTGGATGAACGATACTTTCTGCGAAACCGTCTTTCTGTGTTGATGTTTTTTTTTTTTTTTTTTTAAAAAAGCGTTGCCCCACACTAGGATTTTCTCCTGTGTCGTGGGTGCGTTTACAAACATACAAGTTCACATACACAATGACACCCAGACCCGAAACAACAATTTGTGGATCACACAAAGTGTTGTCCCGTGCGGGAATCGAACCCGCGACACGTTGCACGGCAGCCGGTTGCCCAGCCACCGCACCAACCGTGCAGTCTAATGATGTTCTAATCTCTGATGAAAATCATTAGCATTATGGAGCACACGGGATATATATACCTAAGGTAGAGTCTACCACAAAATTTTGACTGTGTTATACACATTCTAAGGTGAACTACGTACTGGGACTATTGATATTAGTCTAACCAAGTCTGTTAGAACCAGGACTCGAACTTTAACTTAGTTCACTTGCCGGGCATTCGCGCTTGCGACGACTAGACAAACGAGATGAAAATAAAATATAATACATAAATAGCCAATTTTAAGTCTCGGATGAATGAAAGATGTGTAGTGAAATCATACCTTTTCCTCGGTAATATGAGCCGTGCGCTCTTTGTGGTAGTTGTAGTATAAGGAACCTATCAACAACCTTGGTCCTAGGTGGAAAGCGATGCATATCCTCCAAATATATCTCTGGGGACTTATACCGGTAATCGCACTAATTGATGGTACTACATTGTAAACCTGGAATTAAAAAAACAAAATAATGTGAGTGGCTCGACCGTGGTAGGTACGGCGGCTTTACAGTAAATCGACCTAAAACAACGCCGTGCGAATGAGGAGGGGAACGGAGATACAATGGTCACTTCATCAAAAATCCTCAAGATGCCAGCAACGCACTTGTAACCCTTTTGGTGTTGCAGATGTACATAACCACTATCGATTGCTTACCTTCAGTGACGCGCCAGTTTGTATGGCGCCCTATTCTACAAAATAATTACAAATTAAGTTTTTTATTCTCCCTAAACAGTTACTACTTTTACCCATTATTACATTGCAAAGGAAAAATGATAATCCTGCTTACTATTTCGTTTCGTGACTGGATTAAGGGTGGTCGATATGTAGGTCATTAAACTTTGACCCAAACAACTCGATTCCTGGAATCTTTCGATACAAAAACGTTTCTTCCAGACATTTTTCGTAGCTATAGTATGTGTACACAGGTATAAGTGCCTTATACCACCTACTATTCTATTTATAATGTTTATTCAAGTAGTTAAGTATTTAGGTGCAAGGCTCTACCAGGCACCACTGATATGCACGAAAGTGCAAGATCCGAAGATAGGTGCCTACTTCGTAAATATTTCAAAGTTTCCTGCAGTCAGCATGGGCTACATAAATACTGCAAAATCGCGATGCCTTAGACGTAATAGTACTACTTATTTAGTAGGTAGTACTTAAGTAATTACTTATAGGCTTGAGTAATTAAGAAATAACGGTGAATGGTGGCTTTCAATGAATGAAGATTAAATGGTAGCTCTAGTTATATAACTGTGCTTACACTTATTTGTTTACGTAATTTAATAGAAAAAGGTAAACAGTCAACCATGTTCTTTTTATAGGTGACCTACAAGCCATTACCCACTTACTACCTAGATAATTTATATTTCAGTAAGGGTTTCAGGTCAAGTTAAATATGTATAGTTACTCACCCTACAATGCGTTTCATGTATGTCATCTGCTTGAAACATAGACGCGGTCACATAACAAAATATTAAAGCACCTAATGGAAGCCAGAGTGCAGTTAAACAAATTTGCCTCAAACCACATGTCCAGAGCAGTCCCTTTAAAATGAAATTGTAAAATTATTTGTCTGTTAATAATAAGTAAAACTATAATTACACAAGGTGTAGGTATCGACCTTATACTCCAAAACTTTAACACTGTTATTTACATCACACTTTTCGTTTGTGCGTTCGTCGCCACGCGCATCCAAATCTGGCGGCGACTGTACTTGTGCGTCATTTACCATTTTATCTTTCACTCATTCAATACTTTAACACACTGGGATTACATATTTTTTACTAATTTCCATATGAACAATGCTGCACTTCGACGTCACAGAAAATTTATCATCCCTAAAGAATATTGACGCTGTAACAACGCCTCCTCTGACACATTTGTGCAACATCGACGTTTCATGAATTAAAAATTACCGAGAGATCAATGTTAGCAAACACGAACTAAACAATTTAGTTGGCAATTGGTAAGTTATCTTGTGTTTATTCACGAATGCAATTTGTAGCAGTGGATTCACAATATTACAATTTCTGTGGATGAATTAAGGCGTGGAATAGATGAGGTTATTTGGACATGCGCATTAGGCTCTCTATGGCGAGGGTTTGTACAAAGAGTTCAGTGTGTAAGTAACGAGGGTTTATACCTCCTACGATAGGTACGTACACCCCTTCATAAGGCCCGTTGTACCGTAGATACTTAATAACCTGAATTGTTTATAAGTTACTGTCTTGTTTTGATGGCGTTGTTTTAAGTTCACGATTTTGTGGAACACAAATATTATATTTAAAGACACATGAAAACGCTGCTTAACTATTTTTAAAAATCCCTTCTTAAATATTTTTAAGAACAAAATAATTACTATGTACGTGTCCGGTTATTGATTCAAAGTTCCCGCTCAATTGTCGTATTTAAAGTCGTGCCAGTATCGAAATCCTCCTTTGAACTTAAACAGGCATTGGATTGGTTGGTTGGATCATAGATTTATAAATATAACATAGATGTCTGGCTATTGTCTACGGGTAGAATTTAGGATCAATCTTGACGGTAAATTCATAAACATACTGTTGTTTCTTTTTTACTTATGTCTCTTTGCTTATGCAGAAAGAGACAACACATTATTGTCATTCTGGCCATAATTTTTTGACGTCATCAGAAAAACCTAGTTGTGCCGAATTGGCCATCTTAGTCCCTGTTATCAGTGCATGTCAGTGGTACATCAGCTGTCAAAGCATTGGTCAACAATATTTTGTTACGAAAATTTGTAGAATTCCTGTTGTTTTTGTACGTGGTAAACAAAGAAATTATTGGTTAGTGAGAAGAACTATGCCCGGGTGCAGTGTTATTGGATGTAGCACTAAAAATATTACTAAACCGGCAGGTGTAACATTACATCGGTAAGTACTGTTATTTTTCATTAAAATATCTCTGTTTTTCAAACTATTCAAGTGTGGTTGCTGCAAATTGACTAAATACAATACTTTTCTAACTAATGCAGTGCTTATTTTCATTAATTTTAGTTGAAATACGTCTAAAACAATTTTCATTAAAAAATAGTGATGTACATGATTGTTCCCGTATCGATAATTTTATCGTACATAATAAATGCGTCAAAAGTAGAACAAAGAACTATACTAAATTCTGAATGATAAAGTGCATTAATTTGACATAATGACAAAATACAAAAAACATTAAGTACTCGTCAAAAATTTCATTTTATCGACAAAATTCCACCATCGTCAATACCTACGTAATGTAATAAATAATTAATACAATAGAGAATAATTTTTGTACAATATGAGATAAGGAATAATATTGTGGGAAATGCATTTTTGTCAAAATTGATTTTTTTATCAAATGCCGCTCGACGGATTCAAATGAAACAAACAAATGAAATATAACTTTAGGGTATTTTTAGAGTATTTATTAGAATGTGTCGAACTCTGCCGATAATTTTAATAATATTATAAATTTTCTTTTTAGTTTGTGCTTGAACCACGCAGAAGTTCTTGGCTGGAAATAATTAATGTGGGAAATATAGATACTAGAAGGAAACATATCTTTGTTTGTTAACTTTATTTTGAAGATTAATGTTTTAACCGAACAATAAATTAATAGTAAATCTACGTGATGGGGCCCTATCGCTACAAGCTCTATTGGTAAATCATAATGTAAACGATTCATTATGTGTTTTGTTATATTAGTTTTGGAAGCATTTTTTGAAGAGGTGCAAACTTAACATTTTATTTAACATTTATATTAAGTTCATAACTAACCGGGTTCTTGTACCTATATGTTTCTGTTTTCCTCCGCTATCTATCACTATCATTGTAATGTACAAACATTTTCGTTCAGAGCTTAGTACAGTACCTATAGAATCTATAGAAAAATCTATGTTCAATTGGATCAAGTAAGTTAAATTATACTATTTATGTTGCAGCCTCTAGCCAGATATGTGCATGAAAATGAACTTGGAACCAGTTCTGGAGTCTTCTCGAAAGATGGTTTTGCAGATTACATTACAGGGAAACACTACGAAAAATACGAAGATATTGTATATTATAAATCTTGATTTTATGAATACTTTGATACAGTTTTATTTTTCAACCCTCAAAAATTACTTAACCTTAAGTATATAAATATTGACCAGTTGATGGAAAATCCTTTTCATGAATTTCGATACATAAGTATCGTGAAAGTTATGATGTGAATGTATAGGCACGATCGACTGGAGTGACAGTGCACGCAGCAACTACTAAATATATTTCGCTAATACGTTGGTAATGTTTAGCAGCTAGATAAAAATTAAATCCAGATGAATCATAAAATAATGATATTTTTTGATAAGTCAATTAAAACCAATTCTAAAATATCGATATTTCTACAGTTTTAAAAGTTACATCCCTAGTTCTATCCGCCATTACAGGTGACCAAGTGAAGTTTATGTAGGCACGATTTTTTCCTAGTTGTTTCTTATCCATACTCTTATCATATCAGTGGGTTGGATTGAATCAAAATTATTATCAAGAATACTTCTCCAAAAAGTTTTTATTGAACTAGAAATTTATAGCAAAACTATTTAAATAAAATGTTAAACGTATACTTCTCTGTCATAGAGATCGACTAATAGGTCACCAAATATTTTAGTCGAATGAGGCTGATGGTCTATATTTTTAGTGTAGAGAAGAGAGTAGTAAATTATCACAGGTCGGAATATTGACGTTGATAATGATGTTGTTGCCCTTACTCATAGGTAATATGATGTTATTCATATTTGGGATGTAGAAAGAGTTAATGCCTCCTGCTACATGACTATCTAGACAGAAAGGAGAAGATTCTCGAGAGTTAATTTCCGGGTGTGGATATTTTTACATCATTAGTTAAATTTATTTATATTTTGATATAGTATGGAATGGGAATGGGACTCATACTCTTAGTATAATTTATTGGTAAAAAGGTAATCTATTGTTATTGCTTGAATCGACTAAAAGTATTAGTATTTCAATTTTTGCAACACTAGTGGGGTTAATGTCATTCACAAAAATGTCAAATCAAATGATTTTTTATGAATGAATGAACGTCATTTCTCGCCGCTAGTGTAATCAATCGTTAACTGTTTTACAATGATAATATTCCTGAAAAAGGAATTTGTTGGAATTCATCTATGAGAAGTTGCAGTTTATTTGTGAATAATATGATTTTCTAGTATTCTCATTAATTTAAAGAGTGTAAAAATGAAGTTCATGAAGCTTTGGTGTCTATTCAGTTTTTGTACTATTCAGATACAAGGTTCGACGCATTGGATGGTCACTGAAGGAGGTCTTATCCAGCCTAGGGTATGATAATTATTTCCCGTATATAAGAGTTCCTTCCGCATAAATTAGGCGTCATTCATCACGAGACTATTGAAACAGAATTAGATTATACTAAAATATCATATTGCACACTTTTCTCACTCAATCCATCTTGCTAATTAAGTCCACCTTGAAAGATATAGTTTTTATTATTACCCACGTTCAGTTTTATTTATTCATTGCTGACACAAAGTAGATATTTTTTATATTTTAATTAGTTATTGTTATTGCATAATAAAGTAATAAATTACATTATAAATAATGCTTAAAGATAAATAAAAGATTCATTTATAATGTAATTTATTCTATTAAAAGTTTGAAAACTTATGTGAATGTTGAAATACCAAATTACAAAATAGCATAATTTTCTTAGGATAATGTAGAAAAGGAAAAGGAAAATGATGAAGGAATAGGATTTAAGATTGGTACCATAATTGTTAAATATTACCTAATTGTTGTAAAAAATATTAAACATTAAAATATTGATTACAGCTGGATTCTCCATTTGAATTGGCAAAACCGTATGACTTACTCGCTTTTCTCAATCAAGATACACGCTGGGAGAATATTGTTAATTTACATTATAGCTTGTCTAAAAGGCAACAAATAATAAGAAAATTATGGGCTGAACTGCGGATGAATACTGACATCACAACTTTATTCAATGAGAATGATTATTGTGTGAGAGCGGGACAATTACATACCGTGGACTGGTACACATCCTCCTTGGAAGAAGGTAAAACGAGACTGGGTACAGAGGAGTTCCCAGTCCGTAATTTAAATTATGGTGATGGTGATATTCCTGATTGTAAAAGGATTTCGTCTTTGACATTTAGTATGTGTGCGTTTGAACATTTGGAGGTATGTTTCGTTACTTTATGCCTGTGTCTAAGTAATTTTGAGTAATTATTTAAATGATATAAATTTCAGAGTATGAAAAAGAGGGAAAATTTGAGTGCAAGTCCTGAGACTTCTATGCCAGAGAATATGTCACCGAAGAATTCAGATATATCTGATATGAGTGTTGATCAGTTTGGTCATTGGTTGGCTGGAGTTCTTAAAAAGAACAATTCTTCATGGATACATTACAATATGGCTTCTTTGTACTGGAGGGTCAGGGGAAATGCTCCTAAGGCCATTGAATGCAGCCGAAGAGCAGTGCATTATGCACCAAGGTAAATCTACTTATAGTTAAAGTTATCTGCTTCAATGTTGTTCAATAAAATGTTTGTTGTAACAAAAACATTTGACACACAGTTTATGAATACTAACATCTAAACTAGGCCGAGCCTGTACCTTAGATGTTAGTTCCTTCCAATTGAGACAGAATATTATTTACAACTGATAGAACAATACTTTCCAGAATGATATCTACTAGGTGTTCGAAATATAGTTTGTAAATGTTACACATCAATTAAATTTTCTGAAACCTAATATAAAATTGTACTTAATTTCAGGGAATATAAAGACATTCCTCTCTTGAGCATGGGATTGATACTTCATCGTAGCAAAGTATCTGATGATGCCGTAATAGTACTCGGCGCAGCAGTGGACCATGATCTGCATTGTCCCATCAACCATTTTATACTTGCTAATGCATTTGCAGTAGTTGGTGATTTCAATAGCTCTGTGAAACACTATGATATATGTTTGAAGTTAAACCCTACATTCAGCTTGGCTGATAAACATAGGAATGCTGTCTTGTGCAATGCCTATTTTATGGGGAAAATGGAAATTGTTAAGGAGTGAGTATTTCTATACTAATTGTATAATGAATAGAGGAGACATAACTATTTGAAAGAAGAGAAGTTTGTT